TGTAAAAGAGGTAGAAAGAACATAGGGAAACATTACCAGTGAGGGCAATTGAAAGAAAGAAAGAAAGAAAGAAAGAAAGAAAGAAAGAAAGAAAAGTAAAGAAAGAAAGGAAAGTAAAGGAACACGATAAGGACAACAGAAAGAAAGAACACCAAAAAAAAAAGAAAGTAAGAAGAAAGGAAGGAAGGGAAGAAAAAAGAAAGAAAGAAAGAAAAACTACAGAAAGAAAAACGCAAGGAAAAGAAAGAACACAAAAAAAGAATAAAGAGATGAAGAAAGAATGAAAGGAAAATGAAAAGTGAATGAGAGAGATAGAACGACAGAAAGGAAAAGAACAAAAGAAAGAAAGAAAGAAAGAAAGAAAGAAAGAAAGAAAGAGGAAATATAGCAAGAAAGATATCAAGAAAAAGACTGATAGAAAAAAGAACACAAAAAAAAGAAAGAAAAAAGAAAGGAATGAAGAAAGAAAGAAAAAAAGAAGTATAGAAAAAAACACAAGGAAAAGAAGAAAAGAAAGCAAGAAATCCAGATAATGCTCTTCAAATATATATTTTTAACCATTCCCTCAGAGACAAAGGGACATTGTCTGTAAGACGCAAGAGAACGATAAGAAGTTTTCAGTGAAGAGAAAGGACGATAAAAGTACAGAGTTCAGGAAGACAGATGGTGATTGACGTTGCATTTAGATTTTGGGAGGGAGCATGTAACAGGGATGCAGAAACCAGAATTGAGTTCTACAGACGAGAAATGCCAAAAACAAAGAAAAAACAAATAGAATAGAACTTATGTTTACATCCCAGCTATTCCAACATTAAAATGATGGAACCTATTTCCAAATGTAGTAGTACACATAAATGCATGCAACTATGGTACCAAGGCGAAAAATTTAGACTTTCTTCTCAATCCACGTAAGCTGTTTAATCTTCCTCAAATGTATTTTCCTGATGTCATTAAAATCAGTTATACTTTTTCATATATTTTTTAAATTCACCCCGGGAAAGACAATGAAGACACTAAGACGTAAGAGGAGTTACTGAAGGTGAAAGAATATAAAAAGAGAAAAAGTAAAAAAGCAGGAATTAAGAAGGACTGACTTTGCATTTAAATTTTTGAGGATCAAAGTTCACTGGAAAGGAAGAGACCGGAAGAAAGTTCTTCAAACGAGAAGTGCGGGAGAAGAGAATGTTAACATAGAAATTACGGTTAAATTTGACTATTTAAAAATATGAAACCTAACTGACAATATAAAGGGTGTTCCAATAACTTACACCGATTTTCATGTGAATTAAGTTTAAGCGTCTAATGATTTTTTTTTTCTTTTTCTTTCAGATTTGGCGGACATTTGGGCGATATTATTTTTCACACCTAATCGCTATGACTTAAATAACCTGATCAAATAGAGAAATTAATAAATTTTCACCAATAACACTAATTTATTTATTGCTGACTTTGATCCGTCTTAATGAAACACCCTTATATAGAATCCATCTTAATGAAACACCCTATAGTCTACAAGGAGATTCGTAATTGCGAAATGCCAAACATCATCGGAACAATGTATAGAAAAGACAGAAGACGACTACGTTACGTGACTGAAGCCGAGATGCCAGGTCAGGACCAATAAATTATGGTTAAGTGGATAAAAGCGTTGGTTGAGTGAGTCAAAATGTGACTTGACACAAAGAACTGTGAGTTCAATACCTGGCCACAGCAGTAGGAACAAAAACTTGGAGTGTTGAGTTACTAAAGGGAAATTAAATGAAACTGAGATATCCAGAATAGGCACGTGGAATTAGAACAATATAGACTCTTGGAATAAATAAAGTATTCTGTTCGAAATTCCAACGTATATCACCTGAAGAAGACCGGGGCGTAAAATGGCTGAAATGTCGTGAATATGATCATAAATATGAGAACAACAGTCCGAACGATTGGTAAATAGGAACAATAACATTGTAGATACTTCAGCAGCAGTAATATTTAATGCATTTACGGTTGATTAATTTTTTACGGCTTATCAACTGTTTGCAGGTTATTTAACGCCAGGAAATATTATTAGATTATAAAAATTGTGTGTAATAATGATAGTCCTACTAATTAACCTATAGTTGGAGAGAGATGAGGTGGACTCATATTTTTCGCAAGGATATTTACATGTAAGTGGATATAATGAACCTGACAGGAATGTGAACTCGGATCTCCGATTGCGAATTCATTACACCACCTGCACATCCACGATTAGAATACCTAGTATTCCCAATCGGTCTCCCATCTAAGTACTGACTAGGATCGACATTGCTTATCTTCAGCGATCGTAGGAGTTTCAACGTGATATGACCGTAAGCCTCAAACTGTGGTGAGTAAAATTGTCTGCCACCACAGAGTACGCCAACTTTCCTCGCAGTAGGACAGATGTGATATCAATGTTCAATGCTTGGTAGAATGCTAGATATTGAAATATATAAGATGCCTTGGTAATGTTTTCAGTTGACTGGCTTCTGATCTCTGATCGAATCTTTTCGCAATTTGGAACGTTGTTCTCATCAATCAAAAACTTGACAATATCTTATTCTTATAATATAGGGGGTCCGAATAATTTGGACTGATTTTAAATGTGAATTAATTTTAAGCGTCTAAAGATTTTTGTTTTTCTTTCAGATTTAACAACTTAAGTCTTTGGCAATTTCAACCATGAAAAGATTAACAATCAAACAACGTATTAAAGTTATCAAAACCTATTACGAAAATGGACGTTTAAATTTATAAATATACGGCAACAATGATTCCGCTAGCAAAAAATGTATACCAAACAGTGGCCTTTTGAGGATATAGTGGCTTTTCAACAATCTTCCTGGGATTTTCATCAACTCTAATGCTACAATTCTATATATTAATGAATCCACCAAGACAAAAATGGGCTTCATCACTAAAGAGGATGTTTTTAGGAAAAATCTTCATCGGCTTGTCTTTGCTCCTGCACCCAATTGACGAATGTACGTCGCTCCAAATTATCAGCAGGTTTTAGTTCTTGTATCAATTGAAATTAGCGACAAATGTATTATGGATGTAGCCAAGTATGATGTTCCAATTTGTTGAAGTAGCGGCGGAGATTAATCAGACATAAAGTTATCAGAAACTTTTTTATTTTTTTTATTCAGGAATCTTGTTAAAGGGGCCAATAGATAAAATTAAAAATGTGGAATATCTAAATACGATGCTAATAATACTGAATAGACAGCAAAACATGGCAATATTAAAGTTAAATAAATCAAATTTATTTCAACACGATAAACCATCCATAATAAAAAAAGACACGCCAGCAAATGCAACATTGTCGATATTTCTAAATGAACAAAAATGAGTAGTGTAGAAACAGACATTGAGATATACGACGTAGAATTCTGAAGAAGAATATAAAGAAAGGTGTCTTCCATACACTAAGCAAACCTAACATTAATAGGAAAGTTTCCTTAGGAATTAAGGAAATAATGTTACTATGGAATGTCTTATTAGCTAGTAAATTTCTGTCTGAATTTCTGGGATGAGGAGTTGTCATCATTTACACTATATTCGGATAAATGACCTCTTCTTTATCGTTGCGCATACAGAGTTTCGGTCGTTTTAATCTACTAAGCCATTGTCTGGTAGGAAAATTTGCTGCAGCGAAACTGGAGCTATAAACCTAACCTTCCTATTGATTCCTATTGATTACATTACAACAGCTACTGTTGCTGTCTTTCAGGATTCTGATGCATGTGTTTTGATTGGTCCACCGTACGTTGACCGTTTTTCTTTATTCCAAGCTCACGTATTGCAATTATTTCTACGCTATCCCTATTCAAGAGATTCTCACATCCTAGCAAACTTGACTAATGCATGGAATAATAATGCAACACAAAATGTACTTAGAACAAAATGTATTGAAACAAGAAAGTGTACACAGTATTTACATATAGTCTTTTGTATATTCCTGCTAAGACCGTTCCTGGAGAATGTGTCGACTGAGTCGCAGTCGGGCAGAGTCTCTGGTTGAATCTCTTGATTTCTCCCTCTCTTCCCGGTAACAACCATATTTATATGGTCGGTACTCCACTATGCAAATTAGGTGGATCCTACCACAACACATATGCGCTGATTCTTTCAGGCGTCATTCTTCTTCCTTGTCCTGTGTTTCCACTTCATTCTACAGGAACTGATGCATACCCCCCGTAGATTAAATAAAGGGTTCAGTTCAGAATTCTGTGTAGTTTGCGCAGATCGATATACACACGTGGAAGGCCGTAGGGCACAACGACCTAAACGTTGTAATAACAACAACAACAAAGATGAAGAGTGTACTCCGAATACACATAGTGTAAGTAAGCCAGTGAATGTTTAAAATGTTGACTCAAATATAAAACCAATATCCTGACTTTAATTAAATGATATTCAACTTTAAGAAGACACATTGAAGAATTGCATTTAGTCTATTTTCTTGAATAATCCCAGAAGAATACAACTAAGTGAATTTGGCCTCGAGGTGCTTATATTTCTCCAAATTTCCCATTTGAGTTGTTAAGTGTGAAGAAGAAAACTTATTGGAATCATCCAATTTCTAACAGACTTTCGGTTCTTCGGATAGAATATTATTTCAATAGACTACTTCGCTGATGGCACTGTTAGCAGCTGCCGAGTTATTATCAAAAGTACATTCGCTTTTTAATCATCATCGTCATCACCACGAAAGCTTGGTTTATTTTCGTTGCTTTTGTTTAACGGCATATCAACCAGCTATTCAATAATCTAAATAGGAAAAGTTAAACACTATAAATAATACACAAGAATGGTATAATTTCATGATTAAATTATAATTACTTAGCGGCTTGTTTTAACAAATATTCTCTCAAAATCAAAGTAGGAGGGAAAGCTGATCCTTATACGAAAGAAGATGAATCATGGGTAATTTTTTTCTAATTTTTTTTTTAACAATTTATCACATATTGAATGTCATATGGCTATAAAAATGTACTGTTGGTAAATATGTTATAAAATGTATTACTGGTCATTTTGTTATAAAAATGTTCTGTTGCTTATTTATTTATAAAATATATTGCCGGTCATTTTGTTATAAAATGTATTGTTTACGATTTTGTTATATAATGTATTACTGGTCATTTTGTTATCAAATGGTTTGTTAGTCTTTTAGTTATCAAATGTATTACTGGTCATTTTGTTATAAAATGTGTTGTTGGTCATTTTCTTATCAAATGTATTACTGGTCATTTTGTTATAAAATATATTGTTGGTCATTTTGTTATAAAATGTATTACTGGTCATTTTGTTATCAAATGTATTACTGGTCATTTTGTTATATAATGTATTACTGGTCATTTTGTTATCAAATGTATTACTGGTCATTTTGTTATAAAATG